AGTGGGGTTGGAACTGGATGATCTTTAAGGTCCCTTCTAGCCCAAACCATTCTATGATTCCATGATCTTTATCCTGGAAGGTTTTTTTGTGCAGTCACCTTCCGATACCACCAGAATATCACAGCAGTTGCCCTGAGCACAACTGCACCGTGCAGCTGCTGAGCCTTTTTAGCCACCGCTGAGCAGGTCAGGGTCTGAACTGGCAGAGAATATGTTATTGGGCCTTTTCATCTAAAGAATTCCATTTCCACAAATGGTACGGTTTTGGACATGAATAGTGGGTAGTCCAGCTGAGGATCAGAGGCCTGAGTGTCCTGGAAGAGGATCCCGAAGGATTTGTGTGGCTCAGTAACAGAGTTGAAGAATTCTCGATTATTGGGCAGGAAGTTCAATGGTTAATGAGTATCATCCACCCCATGGATCAGATGTAATTACAGAAATTTTTAAAAACAAGGCTCCCTTTTGACACTGTTCTCTTTCCTTTTGTTCCCAAACAGCTTGCATTTCATTGCAATGTGGTTTTAAAACGGTGGAGTACTGGTGCAATTGCTTCAGGTGGGGGAAGGGACTGTATTTTAGTTCCCAGCTTCTCGTAGACTTGTTCCCATGTATGAGTTAATATTTATGAACTGGTAAAGTAAAATCTACATTAAACAGAGACAAAAGGATTTCTGTAGTCCTATTAACTATATTAGTATGGAAAAATGCTATGAAAAACCTTAAGCAATGGCTTTGTTCCATTTTTTCCGGGTAGGTTAGGGTAATACAAGATTAAAATGGTTCTCTGAAGAAATTCATGACCTTGTGGTAAAACTTTTCAGGCTGTTTTAGATGTGGTAGTTCTTATGCTGGAAAACAGTCTCCTGGAAAATTTTCCAGCACTCATAAGCGACGAAGTCTTTTTCCTAATGCATTTGGGAGTCTGATAACATTTTAAGTATAAGAAGGTGTTTTCCTTTAGGATGATGTTGGTCTCAGGCTTGCGTCTGATGTGTTGAAGTACTGTATCTGTAATCTGTAGTGCTTTTCAGTTCAAGACATTTGTTTACAAACATGTTTACAGTGTTGCAGAAATAGAAGAGCTAACTTTGGCAAATAGCCATATTGGAGAGATCCGAGAGGATCCAGCTTTTTTTTTTTTCCCCTATGCTGATACTTTTTTACCCCACCTGGAGTACTGCATCCAGCTGTGGAGCCCTCAACATCAGAAGGATATAGACTTTTTTCCCCTATACTGATACTTTTTTACCCCACCTGGAGTGCTGCATCCAG